CTGTCATTTGTTGTTAGATTTAGACTCTCTAAGAGAAACTAAAATCATGAAGATAAGATGTGAATACGTAAGATGGAAGCTAAATATTGATAAGCTTCATATGCTTTTGATATGTGGTAAGTAATTAAAATCATTAATGGAACTATTACTTGTAATTGATTCCCAAATAAACGGCGCTCTTCATTCAGATTTAAGGTTGAATAATTTGCTAAAACAGGAGTGCTGTTATAATGCAGTTGGAATTTCCTTTTTTTGTTGATGATCACTATATATACACCACATATAGAAGTTGTAGCAGTATTTTGGTTTATCATTAATTTCGTTTGCTTTTGATTTAAGATTAAATAATAATTTTCCCAAACAGAAGTGCTATTGAATGCGGTTAGATGAGCATTTTTCCAGTTTTGTTGATGATCATTGAAATATTATTATTTTTTATGGAAGTTGTAAGAGTGTTTTGGCTTGTCATTAATTTTGTTCTTCTCAATGTAGGATTTGATTAATGGTGCAACCTGAACTGCATGGTTTTGTTGTATGAAAGATAAAAATTCTCATATTAGATTTAGGCTTTTACATATTGTTCTTTGTGGAGTGAATGACCTGTTTTTGACTAATATGATTCTGAGTGAATCCCAGGATCCCCAGCCGCTTTCTTTTGGCCAAGGAAAGTCTACAGTTAAAGAAACACTTTCAAAATTATCTTTAAAGTCAAAATTTGTTCCTTCCTCAATACCATGTGTCAAATAAAATATTCACTATTCATTATTCAATCATATTCTTCATATGGCTACTGTTTTCTCCAAATGTATTTTTATGATTGTCCTAGTGCCTTTTCTATAGTTTAGCAATATCCTTCTTTTTCTTTTTTTTTTCCACTTTGGCTGTCCTGGAAAATATTTTCCTCTATTTACTTTTCCTTTTCCATCAAGTGGTTTTCAATAGTTTTTATGTAAAGACAAAGAAGTGCCATGTTCATTTTGCTTAGCAAAGAACTGTATTTTGATGTAGTGAAAGATTTCACCATACTCTTGTTCTTTGACAAAACCATTGGTTTTTACTCTTACCACTTCAAGTTTTACTTCGCCTGGAAGAGTGTAGTAAGGTTTAATTTCCCGGTTTCCTGGGGAAATGGTCGCCGAATTTTGTCCCCCACTTTCCCCTTCATTAGAATTCCCGAAAACTCCATCCGCAACCTCCAACTTCCCTCTCAATGCCTATGACATCAAAGACCCATCTTTGTCATTTCAGAGCGTACAAAATATCCCTCCTCCTAAAATCCTAGAAAGAGAAAAAAGATAGAAAGTAGACCCGCCATTGGACCCATATGAATCAACCATGTTTGGCCCTGACCCGAACAGATCTGAACCGTCCTTTTCAGAATCCAACAGCTCTCCTCAGTCGGCATATTTGGTTACCATTGGTTACCATATTTTCTCTCTCTGCTGGCTCTGTGGTTTTTATCATCTCTCATCATAAACCCTAGTCCCCCCACCATCACTCTCTCTCCTCTCTGCCTTCGCCGAAACAGGAATTACGTGAAACTCCTTAATTCTCTGATCTTCGATCTTTGTGTCTCCCGCTTCCGGTGAGGAAGCTTCTCCCTTTCTCTTTCGGTAAATAGAATAGATCTTTTGTAGTTTGATTATTATCTTTATATTATATTATTATATTATATGTATTTGTATATATATAATTTTGGGTTGTTGTGTTTGTAAATCTGAGTTGATCGTTCTTTTCTTCTTGCAATGATTCATTTCCTGTACGATGTTATGTTCTTATCACTGTTTAGTATATAGTACGTTGTAGTTTTGTCATAATTCTGTCTGAGTCAAAGAGTCCGTGTCGTACCCGGGTTAGAAATATGGTTTTTTCTGAGTGGGTTGGGAGTCATAGGTTCAGATCTGCGACTCTGATGATGAGTCTACTACTTTTGGTTTCGTCGGCCTAAACTTGTTCTTCCGATTATGGGACGGTACATTACAGGGGGAACGCTGCTTTGGTTTTGCGGACTGAGTGAACTCGGTAGCCTGTGTCTACAGCGAACCGAGTCAACTCGGCGGGAATTGAAAGATCGGGTCGGACGTTGGGCACAGCCAGAACCGCACGGTCATGCCGTCTGGGGAGATGAGGCGCACCACGAGGGTGTTTGGGATGGTGAAGGGTGCTGATGGGGCTCGGGTTCTCCGTTCAGGGCGACGTCTGTCAACAGAATCTGGTGGGGCGAAGGTCAGGAGGCCCAACGATGGTGACGAGTGTTACCAGTTGGCGAATAACTCCAACAGAAATGATGGAATCGGAGCTGCAGCCAGGGATTGCAAGGCCAATGGGGCAGAGGATGAAGATCCGATTATAGGATCTCTGAAAATGGAGGTGGAGCCCAGGGAGGCTGGCGAAAGGGTAGATAGGATGTATGGGCTTGTGTATACTCGAAAAAGAAAGAGAACTGGGGTTGACAATTTTTTGTCTATTTCACAGGATAAAAAATATGGCTTACAGTTCTCTCGCAGGCAAAGGGGGAAGACCAAGAAGTATGGCAGTGGAAAATTGCTGGGTTTTGATGGGGCAGTGGTTCCTGATCCACTTCATTTTGAAGTGCCTCCTGTGTTCTGTTTTCTTGTCAATAATGGTGGTTCCTTTGGTTGGAGCTGGTGGTTTTCCTGTTTATTGAGTTTGGTTTTGGGGTACATGAATAGGGCAAAGGTGAGGTTGCATGAGCTTGCTGCATTTTTGATGTCTCAGCCTCTATCAGGTGTTTACTGTTCAAATGGTGTCAAAATCGTTTTGGTAAGTATTTCATTTATCATTTGCTAGTGGTATAGTCTTCTTTTTATTATTATTGCTATTTCTTTCCTTATACTCTTTAAGACAGTTATTATCTAACAGGACGACTAAATAGTTGTGGGAAAATTATATTGATATGGTGGGAAATTATGGGAATCTGAATGAGGTGCCCCTTTGTTGATTTGAGCACACCATTGATTTTCTTCCATCCAAAAATTTTCTTTCAGGGTCCTTCTAATGGCATTGGAATTTGCAAGATTTTTCGAGCTGGGAGGTTTTCTCCTTTGTTTTCCATTGATTTTTATGCAGTTCCACATTGTTTCATGCATATCCATTATAGTATGCTTCTTACATTGAAGTGCCTTCGGTATGATCCTTTAGATGACTTGATTGATGAGGATTCAGATGATGAAATAATGACTTTTACTGAAACACAGCAGAACATGCCTTCATTTGGCAACAGCAAAGTTGTTGCACTTGATAGTGATAATCCCAGGAACAAAGCTGTGTTACCTCTTTCTGTTAGAACTTCCAAACTGGTTAGTCGAAGCAACCCATATAAAACTGGTTTGAGTTCTCGCGGTATACAGAAGAGGAGAAGTTCACTGAGAAGGAGAGATAAAAACCCTTCGCTTGGTGGTGTACAGAAGACTAGTGGAGGTTCACTCTCTGATTTGACCAGCAGTAGGAGAAATGGAATTCCTTTTTCTTCTGTAGTTTCTAAAAGCAGGCTAAGGAGTTCGGTCTCCAGTAGCCCTGGTGCAAACTTACGAGAGTTGAACTCTACCATGGCAGATTTAGCTAAGGATGTTGATTTATCCTGCTGCCCTGCGAGTATATTGGTGATTGAAACAGATAGGTGTTACAGGGAAGAAGGAGCTGTTATCAAGCTAGAGCTCACAGCTTCAAAAGAGTGGCTTCTTGTGGTCAAGAAGGATGGTATGGTTAAGTACACTCACAAGGCACAAAATGTTATGAGGCCCTGTGCTAGCAATCGCTTTACTCATGCTATAATATGGACTGGGGACGATAATTGGAAGCTTGAGTTTTCCTGTCGGCTTGATTGGCTTGTTTTCAAGGAACTTTACAAGGAATGCTCAGACCGCAATGTGCCAACTTCTTCAGTTAAGGTCATCCCTGTTCCTGGAGTTCAAGAAGTGGTGGGCATTGAAGATATAGATAGTGTGCCCTTTTGGAGACCATATTCATATATCTCTGTGAAAGCAGATGAGGTATCTAGAGCAATGGCAAAGAGGACTGCAAATTATGACATGGATTCTGAAGATGAAGGATGGCTTAAGACGTTCAATAATGAGTTTTTCACTGGAAGTGGCCGACTTGAACGCCTTTCGGAGGATAGTTTTGAGCTAATGATTGATGCTTTCGAGAAAGCAGATTATTGCTGTCCGGATGATTACTCTAATGAGAAAGCAGCTGTTAATCTTTGCCTTGATCTTGGTAGCAGGGAAGTAGTAGAAGCTGTCTATAGCTACTGGTTGAACAAAAGGGTGCAGAGACAATCAGCACTGCTTAGGGTCTTTCAGGTAAAATGGCAATTGTCTTAGATGTGTTATTTGTATTCCCAATGCTTGTAAGGTGTTCTTCATGCTTTGCACAGGAATAATTGTTGATTGCATGTTTGTTTTTTAGGAACAAAAACAGTACCCTCATGCCTCAAAACTGCTTGTTTACTAGTTGATAATATACTTGTTAAGCCTTGTCTTCAAGATCTTTTAATATTGCCATCAAATGATGATGCAGCCTTTCTTTTCTTTTTAGTTGCTTCTCTTCTTCATTAATGTTGCCAGTATTGTACTTTGTATTTGTAATGTCAAATAGTTTCTTGCCATGGCTGTTGCTAGTAGGCATAATGGCCTAAATGATGCCATGCCCATATGATCAGGTATATCAAGATGGATGGTGGAGGACCAACTTGTGTTTTGCTTGACTACCCTTTGGCCTATTAAAATTCGCATTAGCTAAACTGAGGCTTGAACTCTTATATTAGCCATCTTCCAAAAGGAACAAATTATGAGTATTTTTCTATATTCAATTGACCCTAGGGATGATGTATTCCTGTGCACTTGTTGCATTCCTTTTACACTTGGTTTGTACTGAGATAATTTTCAGCTACTGCTATGGTTTGTATTGCCTGATTGATTGGGTATTTGACCAAAATGAATGTTGTTTGCCAGGAACATCAAGACAAGAAAGTACCCGTGGTTATCAAACCAGTACTACGTAAAAGAAGGTCCCTCAAACGGCAGGCAAGCCATGGAAGAGGCAAACAGCCAAGTCTTTTGCAAGGTATATAAAGTTCTCTATGTATCTTTCATACTTGGTGTGAACAGCTCAGTCATTTTTATGTTATTAGATTCTATTTAAGCATGTATTGTAAAGTTTCTTCTCTCTACTTCTGTGGTCAATGTACAGTTGGTCTGTACGGTCTGTACTTAATAGGTGATGGGTCCCTGGTCTGTCTTTCTTTGATTTGATCATTTTTGTGAACTTTTGCCGAAATTGAATGACTGGGCCTTTTTGTACAGCAATGGCAGTGGAGCAAGGTGCGGCAGCAGAACAAAAGGCGCTGCGAAGAGTTGAAGCAACCAGAGTTTCAGCTCACAGGTCTGTGCGATCAGCTTCAGAGAAAAGACAAAGGGCTCAGTTGCTCATGGAGAATGCCGATATGGCAACCTACAAAGCGATGGTGGCATTTAGAATTGCCGAAGCTGCTCGAGTTGCTGAGCCCTTGGAATCTGTTGTGGATGCCATCCTTTCCCCGATTGATGAATAAGTGATATTTAGTTTATGCTCGTATGAACACAGTCACAGTCACAGCCACAACCCCCAGGTGATTTTGGACCATATGGGGAACAGACTATGTTTTTCTACTTTTAAGGAAGGGAATACCGTACCTTTGTATAGATTTGAATTTGGTGTACATTCTGTAATTTTGTAACCTTAGCCTAATTGTTTTATTAGGTATTTGGTTTATTTCCTTAAGGGGAGAAAGAATCAAAAATAAAAGAAAATTACAGAAATTTCTAGACATCTGCCAGGTAATTATTTTACTATAGATGGTGTTTGGCTGAGATTATAACGAGTGTTACTTATAAGCTCTGCCAAACTTGCCTAAATTCTTTCACTAATTCACTATTTTTCATATTTCGGATTGAAGCAAGGTTCTAAACTTAGTTCTTGTTTAGCATG